TGAGCTATGCTGTCTGCATTGACAAGGACTCCCTCCCCTCAGCATGCTAGATGCTTTAAACTGAATGCAAAACAGAACTTTTGATTCCTTCAGCAAACCTGATCTTGGACTTGTCAGGAGCCCTCGGTATTGATATTTTAGTCTTAGATGGCCAGTTTATTCTTAATTATCAAAAAAGTAATGAATTGATATCAACAGTTGCACACTCCATCTTTTACAAAATGACTGTTTATCTCACACCCTTTATCTCAATACATATGCGTTCTTTAGAAGACCACATCCATAGCAATATGCATGGACAAAAGACATGATTAGACTTAATATTCTACATCACCACCTTCTTTTCCTCTGGTTTAGAGCCACGTGGTCCATACACCGGCATAAATGTTAAGATAAGAAACAGCCTGACAGCATATTTAGTCTAACACACAGGTGTTCTCCAAGGATTCTGGAGGTAGTTGTGATTCTTATGCCTATGCATCTTCCAAGAATTAGAAAAAGGTCAGACCCTTCTATTCTTTTCACTCTCCCCTTTAATTATGCCTGAAAACTTGGTTTCATTCACTGCTTGCATTTTCATTCTATCATTTCTTTTCTGAACTTCAGTCAGTCAGAGAATTTTGCAAGGCAAAGAAAGCTGAGAATCTGTCCAACTTTTGAACTGGGAAAGACACCTATAGACGGTGCCACCAGTGCATAGTCTGTGGCAAGGCTGTCTGGGTTGGAGGCAAAACATGCAGGAAATCTCCTGGTGGAATGCTCCTTCTGAAACAACATGACCCTGAGGGACAGAGTTTCACATGCTCCAGCCTTTCTTCATCTACCGAGTCGTCTACCAAGGCTAAACAATAGCTGGAGAACAATGTGAAGGGGGATTAGAGCCAAGTCAAAGTCTTAAGACTAGAATGTAAAGCAGGCAGCTTAAGTATGAAAACACATTTAAAGTACTCTCATTTGTATCAGATGACATTATAATTAATTATTTAATAGTTTCAATTGTTAGCATAACCTAACCATTCCCATAATTACTCGAAGGCAAATGTGGTTTTACTAGATTTTTGATGCATGTTGTTCCATTAACAAACAGCCAGTGAAAGGGTAATTTCATTTGAGAATTGTCACACATTTGCACAGTTCTCATTTAAAAAGAGCAATGGAAGAATCTGACAAATGAGAATCCAGACAGATAATGTGTCAATCCTTTCTTTTCTGTAGTGCACAATTTTAAAACTGTAAACTATGTAACCAAAGAAGTTGCAATTAATGTGTGTGGTAGTCCACAGCACCCCAGAAAGGGAGTCCAGGAAAGAAAAAGATCCAGTTCCAGTGTGTTGCTTCAACAGAGCCTTTATGTGAGCTGGATGAATCAGCACAAGCATTCAACCTTCATAATAAGTGTCTTGCAGAGTCAGTCGGATTAAACAAAGCTCCGATACTGCCGAAAAGTAAAAGTGCAACTGCAGACATTACAAAACGCCATTTCTATATAGAATTTTAAAAGCAGCTCCAAACTACAGCAATATTATTGCACTCCGTTACAACAGCAAAATCTGGTTTTTGATACCGACACCAACTGTACCACAGATCAGATCAGGACATTCCTACTGATACAAGTTTTAGATCAATAGAAAAAGAATGGGATTCAGAAAAAGAGAGAGAGTGGCTCAAGTTTTATACACCTGTATGTAGCTTTGAGTACCGCAAAACGCTTCTTGCCCCCACTTGTGGCTGAGCTGTGGTGGTCAGCTTTCTAAAAGAAGGCTACAAGCAATTTTCACTCACAACTAAAATACATTCAGCTGTTAGGAAATATTTTTGGGCAGTCAGACATTAAAAGTATCACTGGAAATCAATGGGCACCATATCACCAGTGCAATCCAAGCTCATAACTGGAGTACAGAAATAGCTTGTTATTTTTGCGTAACTCAATAAAAAGTGGAAGAACAAAATATATTTATTTCAAGAACTTGAACACTAATAATGGGTGTGTGTTTCATTTTTGTTTAAGTAAATGTATAGAGCTATATGATAAAGGCAGAATATTACACAGTTTCATCAGCAGGGGGAATAATTGAATAGCTTCTATGTTATGAATAAAAGCAGCAACATTACTGGGGGAAAATCTCACACACCTTCATGTTTAGTTGCTGAAAGCTGCAGACAGATGACACTACCATATGTATGGACGTGCAACCTTTCTTCTTCATCGATCTAACAACATGCAAATGTAGATGACCCCAACTTCTACATGGATGTATTTTAAAATTATGTAATGCGTTCTTAAATTATAAAGTCTTCTGCAACTGTCACTTGAGTATCCTCAGAGGTCTTATCGGCTGCAACGTCAGCAAAAACACAAGGCGGCGAGGCACGGTAAACCCAGTTCACCCATTAAACGGGAATGCTTCAACTAAAACCTCTGGAAAAAGAGTGGAGGAGATTTTCTTCAATCCTCCAGGGGTGTCATTAAAAGCCATTTCATTTAGTTTGATTCATCAAAAAAAAAAAAAAAAGTCATTTCCTGCTGGAGGGAACATTCATTACTGGGACAGACCACTTGAAACGGCAACCAGGGAAGTTGATACAGTGCTTCTGCTGATTTTGATGCTTTAACCAAAACAAAATCTTGAAGTTTGAAACAACAGCTGCCCTGCCACTCTCAGGCGAATATTGTAAACATACCGGATGCCTGGATTCAAGCCAAGAACCAGACGAGACACAAGATCTTTGAAGGAAGCAAAGTCAAGGAAGGAAATTGGTAGTGGTTTTCTGAAAAGGTAGTTTTTGCTTTTCCTTAAGAAACATCCTTAAAGACCTTTAGTAGCTGCTGCTTCTTAAATGTGACCTACAAAAGAAGGATTATGTCATCCAAATACAGAATGTGACTCTGGCAACAACAATGTTAAACTTGGTCCTGGGTGAAGGTTGAACACTGCTGACCCAGTTCTCCACAGGCCATCGGGTGGATCTCTGCCCATCAAAAGGACTGGAGCACTTGCTATTAATATTGGGGCTGAGAGGAAAGTGGACCACACCACATTCCAAAGGCTCCCCAACATTCCCACATATTAACAGGGGTCGGAATGAAATCCAATACTTGGCATCAGTATCCCTCAAACCCCAAAGCACAATCCTGCCGTGTTAAATTGCCGTCTTATTTCATCTTGGAGGAACGCGCCACAGTCACGAGGCCCGACTAAAGATATGTTATTATTTGCGGGGGAAAAAACCTGGCAGGGATACAGCCTCGAAGCCGGTTACCATGACTCTCAGGAGAGAAAGGATGCCGAACTTCCCAGAGACTCAATGTCCTTCCAGCACCCAAGGGTCCTTTCATTTTGAAAGAATTGCATTCGAACTCATTCAAATTACGTAGATGCTTCTAACTTATGAAAAAATACTTTTAAACTAGAAAATAATATTCAAAAAATCTATGTGCAAGTTTGTTTTTGTACATGCTTTTTCCTATGTTCTCACATCAGTTCCCTGTGGCTTCACTACCTTGCCTTTGTTTGACTTTGAATTCTTTGCACCACGGTCCAAATAGCAACCAATATTCCCTGGGTAAGAGGTTAACAGCTGCAGCATTGAGGACTGGAGGCCTCTGGTTAATGTCTGGAATGCTCCTCTGGGATACATATAGCCAGGCAAAAAGGGACTTATCCCTGAAGTGAGCAGAACGTGCTTTTTCCTAAATAGCCTGCAGTAATGCCGTGCTGAATTGAGGCACTGTACGGAGGAGATATGCTTACACATCACAAGCTGCAGGAACTGTGTCACTGGCACAAATACAATAGCGTCATTTGCACGGAAGTGGGTGACCTTCTAGAGAGGTCTGCGACTTTTTTAAGAAGTCGCAGACTATTCCTGGTCATCCATTCTAACTGATTTGCTGCAAACACAACATAAAAATGATCCTTAAGATCAGATTAAAGGAGCTTCACCAAACATCATCCTGTCGTCTTCATCACCGAATTGCCAGTTGGTTGCGGGAGGTTACAGTTTGCTCACGCTAATCCTGAAAGATCAGTAGTACGTGATGAATTATGAATTGTGTCTTCTGTTTTAATTGTTTAGTTTTAGGTCTTTGTGTCAACACCAACATGAGACAGAAGTGTTCCATTTATGAAAAGGTTTTAATGTATAGTGTGTAAATCCCATGCCTTGCACAGACTGTGATGCAAATATGTTCAGTCCTTTCAGGATATATGGAATGTGTGGCGGCCAGGCTGAATGCTGAGCTGACAACCAGCACCAAAGGCTTTGGCCATGTGATTGATGTGCAATGAGCTACAGATGGATGCCTGAAATAGGCCTTCCTCATCACACGACACATCTCATTCTCCGTTGGTTTTTGACATGCTGAACAATTCGCAGATCTTTTGAACGCAAAAGACAATTTTAGCATCAATCTGTTCCAACTCCTTACAAGATTAACACCGAAAGAAAAACAAAAACAAAACAAACAAACAAACAAAAAAAAAACAAAAAAAACAAACAAAAAAAAACAAGCAGATGACTGAACATTTGCAAAGATTCAGAGAAAATTACTTTCCCTGGAGCAAAACTTCTAGGAAGTATATCTAAAAATAAACCCCAGTGTATCACCAGTCTGCACCAGTAGATTTGGGGGTCCGACAGGAAGTGCTGTCAACACTGCTGAATGCAGAGCTCAAACATTAAAACCACACACACTTCACATCCATGCCTTCATTGTCGTTTTTGACCTGAAGCGTGCCCACAATTTACAACAACGTAAAACATAGAATGTTTATCATGGAAGAACAGAAGCCCTTTGTTGTCCTGCTGCTGCAGTTCTGCAGACCATCTAACTGTTTATTTTATAGCCAGCAGCAGTTCGGTTTTCCCTGGTGGGACTGAGCAAGAGGACAAAATGCACGGACGAACCGCATTAAACATCTTGTATGCAAGAGAGAACAAAGCTTTCCTCTACAGACAGGAAAAGTTATAGGCATCAAAATCAAATAAGTCCTACTTACTCAGTTCACAGACGGTGCACTAAGGGATGAATTTTCTTTTCTTCCCTTTACTACGACTCAAGAAAAAGAACCACTCCACACAGTAAGTTTACAAAAGTGATTCAAAGCACTCCTGCATCTTCTGGATTCAGACCATTTCTTTCAGGTTCCATGTCTGGACTTAGTTTTAAAGGGGTTCTTGTGTTTCCATCCACTTGCGTTCCGAGCTTCTGAGTCGAGCCGTGGATTTCAGCTGACTGAGCTCAAAGCAAAGCGAAGCTGTTGACACTGTCCTCTCCAACTCTCCCCCACCCTCTCCCTCTTTTGATTGCTCATCCCTCCTGCCCTCCCTTTCTGGATTCCAGCGCTAGCATATGACAGCATCCATGTGGATTTCAGTAACAAGGTGATAGACTTTCTGTGGCAATACATGCATGGAAGTACAGTACAGATGTGAGGCCAGGGGAGAAAGTGAGACAAGAGGAAATGACCCTCGGTGGTTCGCATTTCCCACAATGCATGCAATCGCAACTCCACCCGAGACATTCCTTCTCTGAGGGAACAGAAAGGCAAGACCAAGACATACCACAAGAGTTGCCCAAAGGAAAGCCACCTTCCTGTTTGTTGGAATCTCGTTGTTAGCACAACAGCACAAAACATATCAACATGGCATTTTTAATTAGAAGCAACAGCTGTGACCCAACCAGGAAACAGATTTTCCTGAGATCCAATCAGTGTTCAATGAGAAGGCAAGACGTTGAGATGGCATGCTAGATAGTGATAAAGATAAAAAAAGAAAAGAAAAGGAAAAACTCAGCTGGCTTTGTCAAGTTCACAGCATTAACTCAGTCTAATGCTATGCACGGAATTGCAGGGGGGAGGGTCATGTCATAGACACGTCTGAGAAGCAGAGGTCAAGCCAGGATAAAAGTGAGAGGTTAGTGGGAGCAAAGATCAACACCAAAAATTCCCAACTGCACTAGTTAGGACTGACAGCATTCTGCGCATTGCCCCCGAAAAACCTAGAGCCGTCCAGCTTTAAAAGGCCATGTAAACAGGACTGGAAAACAAAGCATTATGAACTTTTGAACTAAATATAAAAACCGAGAACCGTGTTAAAGCCTGTGTTTTGGTATAATGCCAAGAGGAAGCATGCGACCCCCTTAAATGCATTCATTTATTTATTTTATTTTATCACAAAAATGTTTCAGGTCAAACAAATTTCAAAATCAGACAAATATAAGCTCAGTAAATACATATTATGTTTTCCACAAGTAAGAAAAGTACAGTTACATATGGAAGGTCCACATCTCGTTATATCTGGTTTAAAGTAAAAAAATAAAATAAAAAATGAAAAAAGACGTCAGACAATGTCCTGGTAGTGTGATAATCTGGATGACTTGCCAGAATTGATAAAACAATGAATTCTGCTCTATACCAGAAAATCCTGTAAGAAACTGTACAGTTTGTGATATTAAGCACAATGGTACTTAGTTTATTCAGTAAGGCAATAATCCAAATTACTCTTTAAAGTTCACTTTTGAGTGGCTAAAAACGTAAGAACTTGAAATGACCTAGTCAAAGTCTGCACATAAATTGAATTCAGATGCTGTGCCATGACCTCAAATAGCCTGGTTATGATAAAAAAAAAAATAAACTTCTAATGGAGCTGAACTAATGCTACAAAAATACCTCCACAGTGCGTACAAGGCTGATTACCAGTTATTTCAAACGCTAAATGGCAGCTATTGCCGCCAACCATGACACAACCAGTTATTAGGTTTATGGGCCAATTACTTTTCACATAGGGCCAGGTTGGTTTGGACAGCATCATTTCCATAGTAAATAAAATCATCACTTGAAAACAGCTTTATATACATTTTCCTTGGGTTATCTTTTCTGATGCAAAAAAAAAGAAGAATTTATTGAGGATGTACATTTCCTTTCAGGTTACAAATGAGAAAACATTTGTAACCTGAAGGATTATTTATTAATCCTTCAGTGATTAATAAATAAACATTTTACTAATAGGCTTAAGCGAAACACAATTAGATTAAATACTCAAATGTGATTAGAGTCAGATTATTATGCTTTAATCTCTATGTGCAGCTTTTCTTTTCAGATTACATATTATATTTTATGAAGAAAATGCATCTTAAGCTACCCCAGCATGTGGCATGACACAGAACTGAATACCTACAAAAGGTAAGGTCTTGTTTGCTTAATTCTCTGCTAATTTATGCAGAAAGACAGTTTTCTTTCTAGAATCTTCCTTCTGTCTTTTCTGACTTTAAACACCACAGCGATACTGAAAAAAAACATTTATCACATTCAGCGCTTTGCAACAACGTCCGTACAGAAGAGTGGTATGTTAGCAAGTAGATATGATCCATTCGCTGACTGAAAAAAAAAAAAAAAAAGCATGTCATTTTTAGTTTTCAGCTAACCACAACCAATCAATATTTGCCCATTTGGCAACCAATAATTGAGCATATAAAAACTCCAGCTCCAGTCGCCAGTCAATTTGTCAGTGGATCTCCATTGATTACTTTGGCTTTTCAAAAATAACACTGCAAATGTATTACTTGAAAGATGCTGTATAACAGAATCTATCGCTAAAATAACAACAACAGATATCGGTTCTGTTTGACACAAAGATGTATTGTCACACACAAAGTGGAGACATTTATAAGCAAAGGGAATGTGGAGGAAAAATAGGTGATTATAATACAATTTTTTCTTTTTGTTTCTTTTTTTCTCTCAGTGGACACAAGACAGATGACACCAAGTCAAAGGCAGTAATGCCTGAGTCCATTCCTAAGCAAGCCCTTGGGATGTATCCATTAACCCAGCAAGGAGAAGCAGGCTTATCTCCGAGACGTCCACTTCCGCTCCTGCGATTCCCCTCTCTCTTTCACAGCTGCATCACTTCCATTTTCTCTCCAGGGTTACCTCACTATCCTCAAACCTCCGAAGGATACTCCTAGGAAGCCCCCTCCCAGGAATAGGCTAAGCTCCAGCTCCAGTCTGGCTAAGTGCACTTGGACTACTCCTGTATCATCCATCAAAACCTGGTAATTGAGGCAAATGGAGCCAGTTTCACATGCTTGAGATAAGTATCATACCCCCCATCCCACCACATTATAAGCCCATCTGCTCTATTATTTTTTGAGGACATGCTTGGGTTTATTTTTCCTACTCAGCGCTCATCTATATTTCCATATTGTCACTTGAAGTCAAGTGGAGAAAACAGAATATGACTTCATTCAAAAATATGACGGTGATTCAGAAACAGGTTTTCTGGTAAAGACTGGCATAGCCTATTGCTTTAAGCCACTCAATCAGCTGCACTAGAGTGATCAAACTTGATAGTCTGCATAGTCTGCAAAGAAACAGCCGTTAAGTTCCAGAGAAGTTGGCATTTCGTCCAAGCTCCTCGTTGAAGAGAAGCTTCAAATTCTCCTCCAAGCCAGCCGCTCTCAGAGCCAACATGGCATGCAGTCATGTTTCACAACATGCCACTCCTCGCAGTATTATTTAGGGTTCCTCTGGACCAGCCAGCTCTTCATTTAAGTTTGTTTTGTTTAAGCCAGGAATTCCTCACGGCAGCACTTTGCACACAACCAACCCGTTCACGCCCGCGCAGAGATAAATTGCCACCGAGAAAAGTACCACTGCTGTCACAAAGCCTGAACTCTTGACAGTGTAAATGTGAGGGCACATCCTGTGTACATGGACTAATTGTATGCTAGCTATAAATCACAATTGCTGGAAGCTCCATCCCATCCATCTTTATAAAGTAATCACAGCAAGGCAGCAAACAATAAATCCAAACGTAATGACCATATCCTTATGGTGACTCTTCACACTCCGCAAGTACTTACTCTTATTCTCTACTTTTGACTTCAGTCTCTCATAACGTTCCATATAGAACTGTAAGACCAAGGGAACCTACATTTAACTTCAAGCCCAAGATTACTTATCATAAACACATTTTCTTTTTTTTGCTAAAAGTAATGGGCATTTGAAGGGTTCCTTTGTCGAGGAGGCAGACTGAGTCAGGTCAAAGATCATCCAACTGCCAGCTCCCACAGTACGTCTTGTGTCTGTGTGGATGTGTGCCAGCTAAATGCTGTTATGTTTGGACAATGGCTCAGCTTTCCGCAGACTGATTCATGATAGCCTCATCATGTTAACCGATGATGTAATACTTTGATCGCTGGCCATGAAGGGCATCAGTATTAGTCTTTGATTGACCGTGCAATGATTTCATTCAGTTTAGCAGTGATAATAAAACGGCTGTATTCAGATTTCTGGTTTTCCCCTTTCCAGTGTGATAGATCAGTTTTTAAGCCACCGTGAAGGGTAATTGCTCTCACACAAAGAGGGCAGCAGCTGAACAATACCAATGCTTTGTTGGTAGACCAAGGATTTATTTATTTCAAAAGATCTTTAAAAAAAAAAAAAAAGAAGAATAAAAATTACTGTTGTGTGCTTTTGCGCCAAAGAATAAGCAAGCAAAACTCACTGGTTCTGCAGCAAAAACCAAAACTGGACGTTTCAGACATGCTTGCAAGAACACAAAAATGTTCACTATATACTTTAAGGCAAAGTATTAGTTGTGAAACATGTAAAATGAGTTAAAATCCAATAATACTAGCATGGACTGCAGCACATTCAAGCTTTTGTGAGATGGCTGGCTGGATAGAAAATATTCCAAACTCCATTTTATTTTTTGTACTGCTTATGCGGTCTGGGGAAAATATCTAGAGACTCCATACATATCCAGACCTACCCAGGTCGCATATGGAACCCTGTTAGCTGACTTTTTATTTTCATTTTTTTTTTTTGCCAAATTAATTAAACAGTTGATGAGTCAGAACATTTTAAGACAGAAGTCTTAATGAGACAGGAACTGTAAGAGCGTTTTCAGATATAAAACAATCACGCTGTTAAGCATTGCACATTAAAAGTATAACAATGTGAATATTCAAGCTTGGAAGCCATCTGTTGGGAGTTTTAACATGTAATAGTGAATTTTAAATACAGAATGGAACCTTTAAAAGTGGATACAGTTTCTTCATAATAGGCAACACCTTAAGGAGTTCGAAATATGAGATGTTAGGTACAAAGGGTCCGCATGAAAACCATACCTCCCATACAACGACTTATTTCACAGCTCCCCTTTGGCCACTATAACCCAGGTGTGTTCACTATGAAGAGAAGAACAGTGACTGACAGTATAGTAATGTAAAAATCTGAAG